AGAATACTACTCAGCCCCTACTCAGAATTTTTTATTCAATTAGATTCTGATCTTTCAAAATTAGGACACTTCAAAATTTTTTCCCCTCTGAAGCTGGCAGTTGATGCCGGAAATGGTCGTGTGGACTGTATCCTCTTTTACTATATTGTATATATCAGTACAGAATGACGAAGGCCTTAGTTTGAGGGTGATGGTGTAGGGAGATCAGGCGTACCTCTTTCTTTTCTCTTTGAGTTTGAACCTATTCTCCTCTGCATAGTCAAAAGAAAGAGGTCATCATAAAAAGAAGTCGTCATAAAAGAAATCCTCATAAATGCCTTACTTCAATGCAGTTATGCATATTGTGCATATAAACAGTGCACAGGGATGATCTTCACATGGAGATTTTTGCCATTGGATTTAATGATAGGTAAATGGAAGTGTACTTAAATCTTTCCACTGAGATGGTTGAGGCTAAAAAAATTAGCTAGCATTGTTGCTTCTGGAAGCAACCTGAGCATTTAAACTTTGAACGCTGCCTCCATTCAGTACTGCCTCATTTAAGTTTACCCAAAAGAAACCATTAAGGTCTGCGCAAGAGTAAATATGTGTTCCTGTGGGGTGTACAGAATCGGTGAAGACAGAAGCATGAATGTGCGAGTTCTGAGTATATTGAATCCTCATTCAGAGAGTAAACGTTATGTTGCGCTGGTGTGTACCTTCTGTATTTGCAGCTCTTCACTTGTTTTGAGAATCCCTTAATGCAATAAACTGGAAGGATATAGCTGTCTTAACTCTTGTTGGTGAGATACTTTGCTTGTATTAACTTCATTTAAAAAAAAGTTTCCACAAAACATTTGTGTGTTATCTACTGCGTTTTGGCACTGAGATGCAGCTGTGACAAGGTGGTGATAATCTCTGGCTCCTATTAAATGCTTTCTATCACTAGTTCTCAAAATATTTTTACGAAGAAAACAAATCAGATGATGATAGCACTGTGCAAATGAAAACTCTTAGGATCATGAAGTGATTTGTCTGATGTTATTCAGTCCCATAGTTAGTAGTAGATCTCGTATCTTCTAAGCCCCAGTCTCTCATTCTTAACAGCAGACCATAGGATTGTTTTGCATTCTCCAAGTGTGTCTGTACACTTTCTGTATGGATTATAAGGCCAGTGGTTAGCCTTTGAAGTGTTTAAGCTATAATTGCTGACTGGGCATGGAACAGACATTGCAAATGTGGGCTGCGTCCCAAATCTTGGGATACTCTGTGATACTCTGGTTACTTGAAGCATGAGGATTAAAATATTTTCAATCGTCTGATTTATTTTAATCTGCAGTAGTTCTAAAAGTCCACTTCTTTTTTTCTTCATTCTGTTCTTCCTATTGTATCTGTAAGCCAGAGTGGAGTAAACCTATCTTGTGAAGAATTCAACTGGTTCGTTTACTAGCTATACAGATTGTTTGTTAACCTGTATGCACATGAGTACTTGTGCCTGGAATGCTGAAGAAATCAGTGTTTGACCGCTCTGCCTTCAAAAATAAAGTGAACAGGCTCAGAGACTAGGAGCAGTTGCCCTGCACTGAGCAAGTTGCTTCTGATGCTGAGAGGTTTGGGTGGTATAAAGATTGCAGTGGAAGATGGGAAGCTCTCAGGTAGGAAAGTATAGCCACATCTTTGGTGAGTTTTTGGCATTCTGGGAGCCTCTAGTTCTTACTAGGTTTCCCATTGCCACCTCTGCTGCCTTGCTGTCTCATAAGTAACACTTACTAGAAAGTGGTGCACTTTCTGTGGGTTGTAGCCTAAGACGTGCAGTAACTGCGACTTCAGCTGTTTTGTATAGGCCTCCCTATTCATGACCTAGCTTATCCAATGCGCTTGCTCCTTCACTCTCTGACTCATCATTATCCCTCTCTTTTGCTTGCTCCAAAGAAAGGGGTATTTTTGTGTTTCAAAGTTTTTAGCATTGGCCATATTGAATTGTTACTTAGAAGTGTGTAAATCTGCAGTGAATCCAGACTTAAATTGATTTATCTGAGAGAGTGTTGATTTCAGGATATATGTCTGGACTAGAGGTTTGGGGTCTATTGTCACCCTATTCTAAGTGGTAATCCTCACATCCCACAAACACTAATTCCTGGAAAGTGTAATCGGAAATCAGAACTAACTTATCTAGACAGATGCTGACTGCCATAGTAATTTCATTGATCAGAAGCCATTAAATGATCCAGTAATCTCTTATAGATGCTCCAGGATGTTGGGGGGACTGAAACTTTGCCACTGAGAGGGGAATCACGGAATGGTTTAGGTTGGAAGGGACCTCTGGAGATCATCTAGTCCAACCCCCCTGCTCAAGCAGGGTCCTCTAGAGCATATTTCCCAGGATCACATCCAGATGGGTTTTGACTATCTCCAGCGAAGGAGACTCCACTACCTCTCTGGGCAACCTGTTCCAGTGCTCTGTCACCCTCACAGGAAAGAAGTTTTTTCTCAGGTTTAGATGGAACTTCCTGTGGTTCAGTTCAGAATAGTGTCACTAGATTTTTTTTTTTTTTGGCTTATCTCTGTTATCTAGTGCTTAGTGGCCAGAGCCACTTGTTTTCATTACCAGCTGCAGTCCTATTTGTATTGTATTGCATGCTGGAAGTTCTTCATTCATCAGCAGCAGTGTACTTTGTTGCTCTGAAACCTGGTAGGGCTAAGTGATGAGCCTTCATTTTTCTACATGGGATTGTCAGGTGTCAGTTCCTCCCAACTTTGTGTAGAAGAAGTTGGAAGTGGCATCTCTACTCAGGTGCAGCATTGCAGTCGGGGAAGGTAACTATGGGAAATGTTTTCTTTGCAAAAGCTGTGATGAGATGTCACAGTTTGCACATTTTAGTTGTTTTACTGTTCCCAGAAAGAATGCCCACCCATTCAGATACGAAAACAGCTCACCATCAGCCTCTAATGTTGAGGTTGATATGCAGTTTGCATAAGACCTTATTGCCATGTCGGTTACTACAGAAATTGCTATGCTCCACACATTGCTAGCAGCATCCCAGCCATATATTCCTTGATCTGAGGTATCCAAGGCCTGATTTCTTTAGAGATGAAATAGACTTGTCAGATTCTTTGGCCTTTGGGCCAAGTCTGTCTGAGGTATAAACCTGCATAAAGTATTCGGTGTATTTATGTTCTGGGTGCAATTAAATAAACCATACTGAAACAATTCTGTTTTGAGAAACATTTATAATTTAACAGCATTCTCCCAGGCTCTCTACAGGTGGCTGTCTGATTTGCTGCTTGCTGCTTCAGAGTTTTCATTGAGTTAGATTTTGCCTTTGATTCAGCGAGGTGTATATTTTTTTCTCAGTGGTATCCAAGATTTATATATTCGTCTGGCTATGTTAGCTGTATTTTAGTAGTCTTTGAAGTTTTTAAATTAATTCTCAGGAGTGTTGTATAGTTACATGTGGTAAGGGAAGATTTTTTTTGAAAGCTGAAGAAGTTGTTTACCAGTATATTCTTAAGCATTTTTCAGATCAGTGCATTGCATGTTTCAGGTTTTACTGAAAGTTGAATATCACAAAAATATACCTTGACATTTGTGGCAGCTCCACATGGCTTATAAATATCTGACAAAGTTTGAGGTTCAAGGGGAGGAAAAAAAAAAAAAATATTTGTATTACTTGATGTTTCAAAGCCAGGGCTGTTAGCGGGCTTCTGAGACCACTTTTTCACCATACACAAATACTCTCTAATTAAACTTCAAAAAAACAAAGGAATGTGGGTGAGGTAGAAGAAGGTGTCCTCAGGTAAAGTATTTGCCTGAATCACTAGTAGGAGCTTCGTAACCAAAAGTGTTACTGTAAAACAAAAAAAAAAAAAGAAAGTATGTGAAGTGTTTCCTGAGCAGTAGTTAGTTTTCTGTAATATTCTAGAAAAGATAGATAAAGTCACAATTTTTAAAATATTCATTTCAGATAACTAATTATTACGTTTCTTGGGATTCCTAGGTGAGTTTTTATTTTTCTTTTCCCAACGAGTATTATGAGGAAATTCAATTGTTTGAGTGAGCACAGCAGCCTAAACAAAACTAAGAGGGTATAATATTTTATTAGAACAATTGAACAAGTTGGGAAGAAATTATGACTGAAATGACTACAAAATAAGGATGAAAATCCTCAAGAGATTTCCCTCTGGAAAAGAGGTTGTGAGTACATATGATAAATATGCTAGTATACTACCAGGCAAGTTAGAGGAGGAGAGAGATCGCTTGCCCTCGCTTCTCGGAGAATACAGAACAAAGGTTATGAAGAGGCCTGCAGAGCAGAGGAAATGAGGGAACTCCAGCAGCCTTGCAAAACTCTTCGTGTTGCGGATGAATATGGTTTTTGTTTGGTTAAGTAAGTAAATGGGTTAGGATTTTCTGTAAAATACTGCTAGACAGCTGTAAATGTCGTTCTGCAAAATTGTGTATGATCTAAGAGGAGGCAGAGAAGAAATCCTTTCCAAAAACAAACAAACAAAAAAAAACCCAAAACCCCAAAGTTTGTAATTATATATGAAGCCGGCTTGTATTGTGGGTCAGCTACTGAGTCTTCCTGCAAAGTAAGAACCCTGTATCACTGAATAGTGTTCCCTGTTTGAGATGCAAGCAGATGTTGGTAGTGCGGAGCGTCTGTATAGTTCCTGACTGCAGATTTGCTTAAGATGTCAAAATAACACTTTTCCTTCTGTTGTTAGTCGTTTGTGTTTCCTACTTCAGAGCTTTTTCATACGTTTCTGTCTATACAATCTTACATTAGACTCCCCGTCCTCAGGTTCATTGTCATCCTTTGCTGCTGTGAAAATAATATGATACGGGAGTTCAGGATTGTGGGTAGTGCTGACAGTAACTCTGCTTCTTTCATGGAGCACAAAAAGCCCAACACTTTGGATAAATCTACTCAATGTTATTAGGAAGCTACAAGACTTATTCTTGTCGGTCCTTTCTTTTGCACCTTCCATTTGTTCTCCTTGTTTTTGAAATATGTAACTTCATTTCTTGAGTCTGCTGAGGATGTTTACCACCTCGTGATGTTTTCTCTTACTAGAAATATGCTTTACTTTGACAGTTCGGTGCCTTTTGCAAGATGAAGTTCGTTTTGTCATGATTCCTGTTATCTGATTTTGACTCTGAAGTACTCAATGGCTGTTTTTCCTTGTCTTTTAGAGCGAAGACTGGAACTGCTAGAGGGAGGTGCCTAGCTGCAGGTATGAACCAATTACAGTTCATGTCTTTCAGTTGCTTATTGGAGCCTCCTTGCAAAAGTCTAGAGAAAAGTTGTTTTCGGTTTCAATGATGACAGCAATCATTTTCCACTGCAGTGAGCAGTGCTCCCTGAAGCTTAAGCTCTTAGCAGTTTCCTGCCTTTGTGCTGCTAAAGGGGGTTGGGAACATTAACAATTTAGGACTGTGAGTACCAAGTAAACAGGCTTTCTTAGTTCCATTTGGGATGTAATAATTTTAGAAAAATAACTAACTACAAAGCAGAAATGTTTGCCTTCACAGTAATTTCTTGAACAGAACAAATCTCAAGTACTGTACAGTACATGAAACCCAGAAGGTGAGTATTAGTGGAACACCTTCCTACATGCTGAGACAGATCGGATTGTGTGCAGCATAATGGGAGCTAGTCTAGGGTGAAAATTCTCAGAGCTAAACGTGAGTGTCTTCTGGTGCAGTTCTGTTAATGCCCAGAAGTCCAGTAAGGGTGCAGTTTCACTACATGGCTGAGCCAACCTAATGGCTTGCTGCTCCCCTCTTTTGCCTTTACTCAGTTTCCAGCTGAATAGTCTTGCTCCTCTGCTTGTGGGTGCTCTCCTGGTTGTTTGACTGCATGGTAAACAAAGCCAGCTTGCCAGCCTAGGAAAAAGCTTTTTTGTGATCAAGTTATTATTCTTCCAGTTTAGTAAGTTGGATTGATTTATTTTGTCAGAGGAGCACCAGAGGAAGAGATCAGACTGTCGCATATAGCTGTGCACCTTAAGAGTTTCAGTTCCCTTCTGAGAATGATTAGCCTGTGGCTGCTATGTTAAGTAACACTATCATGGTCAAATGGCAGTGTTTGTTGCTCTTCTGATGAATAACTGCTATGGCAGAAATGTTTTAGGCATGCTTTAGACCGTAAACAAAAGAGGGAAACTCTTTGACAAGGAATCAGTGGAACAGTCATATCCCTTCCCAGCCCTTGCAGAACGCTCTCAGTAGCTTTACCAGGGCCCTTTAGAGATGAGGAATGTGCTTTTATCAGCTACAGGAAAAGTAGATGTTTTTCCATACCACATTTTTCAAAAGAAAAGTACACTCTGTCAATAAGAGCTTGGAAATATTTGAAATGGTATTCTGCCAAAGATGATGTTTGTTAATATATTTACTTCAGCTTAAAGGTGAAATGAATATAGAGGTCCAGAGTAAAGTAACTGTCTGTTCTCAAGAGATTCGAGAAATATAGTAGTGATAGGGTTTTACAAATTCCTCCGAATACTTGAAAGACATTCGGTTATCCTTTTTTATAAGACTGCTGCCTTGTTCATTGCCTCGCTCTGAATTTTCTTCATTGAGCTCAGAGGTCTGTTCGTTAGTCAGTCTTCTCATGGTTTAATCATACTTGTCAATTAATGGTAATGCTAGAAGCTCCCTTATGCTTCATTTTGGCCTTTCTGTAGTAGCTCAGTCAGGTCATCTGCTACAGAACTTTTCTTCTATTTTTTGGTAGTTCTTTTCTGTAGAGCTCCTAATTCCAGGTTGTCTCAGTGCTGTGTTCGCCTTTTGGGAAGACTATCAGTTTAGGTTTGCCTGAAAAGGGGAGGCGTTGGCATTGATTGCTATGCTCGTGGATGCATCAGTCAGCAACGCTGCAGAAAGCCAGAAGGAGGAGGAAGGATCTGTTCCTTCTGCTTCACTCCCTTAGCAAGGAACTTGCTTGGAAGCTTGGCTATCTCTGTGTGTAGAATGGAGCTTTCTCTTACCTGCTTAAGTACATTATTTGTCCTGTCCAAGACAGAAAAAAAACCAAGAAGAACTGTTGGAAAAAAAGGCATGGGATAAGCAGCTTGCTGGTGAACGTAGTACAGAATAAGAAGTATGGTCAGGGGAAAACTGTGCATAATTTGAGAGCTTACACTAGAGGCCAATCTTGGTGGCCAGTTTGGCCACTCCTATGGTGTAGAGTATGGGACACTGATAACAAGACTTATAGAAAGGAGCCTCTGAGATTAGCTCCATTCCCTACCACCAGCTATAAAATGATTATCTGTGGGTCTCTGCTTATATCCTCAGCAAAGACTAAAGAGGAAATGCAGATCTAAGTGTCCTATGTAGATCCAGTTCAGTAAGATCTTCTGGAAATAAGCTTTTGAAACCTTGGCTAGGGTTCAGAGTGTTCACTGTAGGAGCAGAAGCAGCAAGCATAGTCTTCACGAGATGAAAAGTACTACTGCCTGGGGAGGAGGGGTTGTGCAATCTATTAGCGCTCCCCAGCCAAAGCAGGATTAAAGAGATGAACCCCAATAGGTTTTTTAAAAGTGTATTTTTTCTGTTTTTGTAGAGTTCAGTAGATCAAAAAAAAAAAAGACGACTGTAAACATGCATTGATTTTCTTTGAGTTTGTACAGATGCATATGGAAATAAAATGTATTCCCTCTTCCTTTGAGGAAGGAGGGACTAGCTTTTCAAACCAAGGTGTGGGGATGCAATAGTTAAGTAAGCACATACCAGAAGGAAAGGGAACCCTTTGTCCTTAAATTGGAAAACGAATAGTGAGGGCTGAATTTTGATATTGATATTTGATGAGGAGGCATTTGTTTCCTACTATGGCCAGATCATGTTTACTAAAGCTTTCATAAATACATTGAGAAGGATTTAATCATGCCTATGTCAGAAAGAAAATAAACTTTTGTCTTTAAAGGGCAGGACTTCCTGTCTCTCTGTATGCTACTTGTCAGGGTAGAAAACTAAAGTTGGATTAAAAAAAAAAAAAGAAAGAAATCTGTTCCCAGGAATACCTTCATTTTCAAGTAATTTTAATGAACTAGCGATTGATCTCTTTGTATTTGGAAGCAGCAGTTTGGCCTCTCTTTGAGGGGATTGGTCTCCAGGTATCATGGATCTGACATAACACATAACTACTTCTGTAACTGACTGGTACTCTGCACTTGGCCTTTCCCATTCTTTTGCTTCTCCTTTAGGACCATACAGAAGTTAGGAAAGAGAGAATAGCAGTCATTGTATTTATGTGCTTTTGTCTGAAAAGGTTATCTCTATTGAGACAGACTAATCTGTCGTTGGACTTGCTCCTTTTTTAAACTCACAAAAGTCTGCTAATTACAGAATGTAGGTCCAGAGTCAAGTGGTTTGGATTATTTAACAAAATAATCAAGTTTATGATTGTTGAAAATAAGTCCTGCAATGGAATGGTTCCATTTGGTGCAATATCTGTAATTTTTCATATTAAGAGAAAAATAATCTATCTTTTCATTAAGATACATCTGTCTTAATGTGAATGTAGAAAGATGTCCAAATGAAAGAGGATCAAGTCTTTCCTTGAACATCTGGTAACACTGTGTTACAAAATTTTTTTGTGTGCATCCTAGTATAAATGCCGCTTATGATGATGAGCCTTTAAAAGAACTCAACAGAGGTGTATCAGAGTAAAAGTATGAAGGAATTCTGCTTTCGGAGAGGTAAAACCGAGGAGCTGGCTTTCCTTTGAGACAGAAAATCAACTGGCCTTCGCAATAGCACTTGTTTTCGTTTCCTGCTTTCTTGGTAGCTCTTCTCTCTAACCAGACAATTTTTTTTGAAGTGGAGAGTTTATTTTGAGACTCAGGATTGCTTCTTGAATTCGGAAAGTCCTCACAAATTGAACAGTTATTCTTCTGACAAATATTATTGTTGTATAATGCCTTACGAGCGCTGAGGAATTCCTGCCTTCTGTATTTACACTTGTCAGATCCGCATTCACCCTGTTGGTGGTGTTCTCTTGGGGGACAAAAATGTCTTTATACTGTTTTAATGCCCTGTGAGTAAAGGGCACTGCAGCTGTTGTTCCTGTTGTTTTGATTTCCATGCCCCTCCCTTAGGGTGATGCTGCTGTTTTCCTGAAAGCTCCAATGGGGCCTGTAGATCTGTAGGCCTGTTGCACAAGGAGGAATAGAAACACTTACCTGTTCTTACCTGACACATACCTATCTACAAATAAAACTTGTGCAGATCTGAGCTACTTCTAAAACAGTGTTTGGTGTGGAAATGGATATTTAAAGATTTTAGATTTGTCCAGTCAGAAGGTACTTCAGGTCTTCTTCCTTAAGAAGTTGCTTCTTCCTCAGAATACTGTGAAGTCATTTTTTTAGGTAGGCATGGCTGTATTTTCTTCTTTGATTCAGAGAAGTGAGGTGCACGTACTGTTTCTCTTTTGAATGTAGAGGCCTGGGAAGTTCAGATGCTTTTTCAGAAAGATTCTCCCCGCGTCTTATATTACTGCATGTATATCTTGAAAGCTAGCAAAATTTTGCAGATGGGAGTTTGTCCGAAATGTGCAGCAGAAGCCTAAGCTCTGTTTAGGAGACAAGATAACTAAAAAAACTACTTCCTAAATTGATCTCATCTGTTCTGTGCCAGGAGTGATGCTTGAGCTTCCCTTGCTGCTTCTACCAATCTTTTCAACACCACAACCTATGTGGTAGCTTGAATTGTTTGCTTTATCTGAGATATCGCATCCTCTGAGATATCACAGCCTCTCTTCTCTTCTGCTCTGCTTCGTGAGCACGCACTACTGGAGCTATACAGCTCCATTTGCAGTCTTGTGCCAAGAGCCAGGGGAAGTCATGCCTTGTCTTGATGTAAGCTGATGCATTAAGTAGAAATGAGTATTGCAGTGACTGTTGTTACAGCAGCATGGTTTGCTCTCCTGGAGCTGTCTTCGTGCTGCGTGAGAATTCTCTTCAGGTAACGTGCAAAACAAAGTTTTCATTTGGATAAAATAAAATAAGTAAGAAGTGGTGAAAAGGTGACTGAATTTTTAGCATAGTATAATGCTAACTGGCTCAGCTTTGTATCTGTTTCTACTGTTAGTAGAAATAATTTGAGACTGAAGGTCTCCTTCTCAAAACAGTTTACATTGCTATTCTGATGGCTGCAAAGGACAATGAAACTTGAAACTTGTTGCTTCCAGTTTAGTCCCAAAGGTCTTTTCAAACCTCGAGGGTGAAAA